ATTGTGTTTCTGAGGCACTAAATCTTTACGGAAATCAAACACCCAGTCTTGCTTCTGCGGAGTGGCTGGTGGATTTGGACTGCCAACCTTCTTGTTAGCAGTCAGATGCCATAGGCACTGTGTTACCAGAGCTTCACTAAATATAAAGCTATATCCAAATAAATGTATTGTCTTCACTTGTTGTTGTGTTCTGTCGAGTTGATTACAACTAACAGCAACAGAACAGCACAGAAGTGCTACAAAGGGTTTCACTAGGCAGTAATCTTTAAGGGAACAGATCACCAGGTCTTTCCACCTGCGAATTGGCTGATGGGTTGGCACCGCAACCTCTAAATGAGCAGCCAAGTATTTAACTATTATGCCACCAGGGCTGCCAAATATTATTTAATAATAGCCTAAGGATTATATAATTACAAATTAAACTATTGAGCTTCTGTTTTCCAACTTTTTTTTTAAAAAGTTTTTAAACCTATATTCTAGTATCATGAGCTACCCATACACTTTTCAGACTTACCAATTTTTAATATTTTGCACTTTTGCCTTTTCTCTTGATATGTAAATAAATTTCTATTTTGGGAGCTCTGGTGGCGTGGTGCCTAAGGCATCTGACTGCTAACCAGAAGGCTGGCGGTTCAAACCCATCAGCCACTCCTCGAAAGAAAGGTTGGGCAATCTACTTCCCTAGTGATACTGCCTCAGAAACCCAAGGAGGGGTCGCTATTAGTCAGATCCAACACGACAGCAGTGGGTTAGAGTTTATTTGAAAGTAAGTTTCTGATATCCTGACATTTCACCCCAAAATAATTTGGTGTACATCTTCTAACAATAAGGACATTCTCCCACATAATCATGACACCATTACTATACCTAACAAATGTAATATTAACAGTATCATATATGTAATTCCCACCATAGTCCTCAAAATATCTTTTACAAGTGATCAAGAACCCAACGAATATTCATGTACTGCCTTTGGTTGTGTCATATATAGAACAGTTCTTTGCCATTTTGGTTTGGTTTTAATGACACTGATATTTTTTAACAGTCCAGTCTCACGGTCTTGTAAAATGTCCCACATTCTAAATTTGTCTGATTGTTTCATTACTATCAGTAACAGGTGATCTTTTATACTTCCAAATAAAACATGTGCTCCTTGAAATTGAGCAAACTAATTTTAGTTTGGTGGGAAAAAAAAAAAAAAGAGTCCTATTATTTGTTGTTGTTGTTTTGTACCATCAAATCAGCTTCAACCCACAGCAACCCTACATGCAACAGAGCAAAATATTGCTGGTCCTGCACCATGCTCACAATCTTCACTATACTTGCAGCCACTTTGTCAATCCACTTTGTTGAGGGTCTTCCCCTTCTCTGCTGACCCTCCACTTTGCAAACCATAATATCCTTCCCCAGGGAATGGTCCCTTCTGATAACATGACCAAAGTAGGTGAGATGAAATCTGGCCATTCTCACTTCCAAGGAGCATTCTTGCTGCACTTCTTCCAGGGCAGATTTGTTCATTCTTCCAGCAGTCCATGGTATTTTCAATAACCTTCAGCAACATCACAATTCAAATGCATCAACTCTTCTGCTGTCTTCCTTATTCACTGTCCAGCTTTCACATGCATATGACGCAAAGGAAAATACTATGGCTTGGGTTAGGCACACCTTAGTCTTCAAAGTGATGTTTTTGCTCTTTAACACTTTAAAGAGATCTTTTGCAGCTGATCTGCCCAGTGAAATACAATGTCTGATTTCCTGACTGCTACCTTCCATGAAGTTGACTGTGGATCCAAGTAAAATGAAATCTTTGACTACTTCCATCTTTTCTCCATTTATCATGCTTATAGGTCCAGCTGTGAGCATTTTTGTTTTATGCTGAGGTGTAATCCATACTAAACACTGTATTCTTTGATCTTCATCATAAGTGCTTCAAGTCCTTTTCACTTTCAGTAAGCAAGGTTGTGTCATCTGCGTACCGCAGGTTGTTAATGGTTCTTCCTTCAATCCTGATGCTGCATTCTTCTTCTGTATAGTTCAGCTTCTCAGATCATTTGCTCAGTATACAAACTAAGTATGGTGAAAGGATACAGCCTGACACTCCTTTTCTTGATTTTAAGCCATACAGTATTCCCCTGTTCTGTTCAAATCAGTGCCTCTTGGTCTATGTACAGGTTCTTGATGAGCACAATTAAGCACTCTGGAGCTCCCATTCTTTGTAATGTTATCCATCATTTGTTATTATCCACACAATCTAATGTCTTTGAATAGTAAGACACAAGTAAACAACTTTCTGTTTTTCTCTTTCAGCCAAGATCCATCTGACATCAGTAATGATATATCTCATTTCACTCCAAAATCTTTTTGGTAGGACAAATTCCCCCTCAAAATTTTTCTTCAGAAGTGTTTTGGTCATTCTTCCTTCTTTGCCACATACATTTCAAATTGTTTTTTCAAATCCAGGGGAAATGTTGGGATTTACTTTCAAGATGTACTGAATTTGTACATCAATTTGGAGAGAAATACCCTTTGTTTAGTAGGGTCTTCAATTTCTGTCTTAATGAGGAAAATCTTCTGAAGCCTTGAATGCCTACAAATATTCTTATTAAATATATTAAAATATTAAAATAACTATCAATCTCATATAACTATCTCATATTAAAATAACTATCAAGAAATAAAATTCTAGGTTCAAAGTTCTTTCCATGCTCAATCTCAGATTCCTGAGCTGGGCATGGTAATGATGGTTTCAATCATACCATTTATAAGCCTTTTGTCTGTGGTCTTTCACCCAGCTCACTCAGGGGAGTGACCTTTCTATAGATAAAGCTGCCCAAACCTCTGAAAACTGGACAAAATGGCATCTTCAGAAAACCAGCTTTCTCATACATTGCTGCTATGAATATAAATCAGTTCAACTTTTCTGGGGGAATTTTTGCAATGCAAACAAAAATCTTTTGTAATAAACATATCCCTTTATTCAACAACTCTACTTCTGGGCACCCAAATTTAGGAAAAAACCTAACAATATTTAAAGAGGTACGGTAAGGATACTCATCACAGTATTAATTTAAATAAATAATGTCCAAACATAATTAGTTACATTTTGTCAAAATTATAAAGTGATTAAGATGGTAAAGATGTATACCAACAAAGGAAAACTTTTAGTCAAAACCCAAGTAAGTCTATTTTTTTGTCTCAGATATATACTTATCTCAGTAGAAAATACCTAGAAACTAAGATTACTCTCCAAACATACAAACAGTAGCTCTCTCTGGATGGAGAGACTGAAGTGGTTTCTCGTTTCTTCTTTCTGCTTTTCTATACTTACTATATTTCTACAATGAGGCTCTTTTATAATTAATTTTAATAAATAGTTCCTCCTTATGGTATCAGTTTTACAACCTGGAACTTATAGGTAAGTGGTTTTATGATCTGTATACACTTTGCATGTACTACTCTTTCAACCTCACACCCTCAAACTCCCATGAGAACACATCAAACTCTTTATTTTCCATTATATCCTTTCTATGCTTTTTAAAGTGCTCAGCATACAGAAATACATTATTTGTTCAAGAATGCATCTCTGGGGTAAAATGTGACTATCTTCCACCTACTACATTTAACATATAACCGTAATAAAGTAGTTCTTTAAATTACAGAGAGAATAATAATTAAACCAGTAACTTTCAAAAATTTTTACAGTAGAAATCTTTCTTCATTCTTTTTTTCAAAGCTCAATATATAAAAAGACAGGCAGTCTAGTGAGAGCGATCCACCCAACTTTCTTCTTTGCCTCTCACAGGTTGTTGCACAGTTTGAAAACTACTACATAGAATTCAGCTGACCATATATGGCACATCAGAGGTAGAAGAAAAAGCAAAACCACATTTAATCTAACATGTATTTATTTAGCTCTTCTTTCAACTATAAATTACAATCACTAGTACACCTGTAATTTTTCTTTATAATGTGTTCAACTACAGAATAAGCAAACACAGCATAGGTCAGTTTAAAACAAATCACAGTACTTCTTAGTGTAATTTTCTAAAGAGTGAAAAAGTCTTGGGCCCACTTCTTGGAAATAAATATCAAGTAATCATAAAAATATTCAGCTATTCTCCAGTTATTCAGGGAGGTTCAAGCATGTTTCCAGGCACAGAGAGCATCAGAGTTCCTCTTTGAAATATCCCAGCTTTGCCAATGACATCTCTTTTCTCAACTGCATAACTTCCCAAAACATCTGATCAACTATACAAACAGAAGAGAGAAATATGTAAAACATAAAAGAAGTACTATCAATTATTTCTAATCTCTTGCACTGAAAGTTTAAGATCAGCTAAAAAACAACTGAGCAGCATTTCCTCATGATGTACCTAATGCCTAGATAGTCGAGATTTTTCACACAAACTTTTCCTGGACTTATGAGTATCCCAGTTTTATCAATCAGCAATATTAATGCAGTTTTATAACAACTATTTGTTAGATACATCAATGACTGAAACTTTAGGCCAAGAGAAGGTAAAAGTTGTCCCTTGTAAATGTTAATGCTGTTACCTTCATAAATAATTACATTCAATGTTCAATTATTAAAGAGTTTATTATCTAACTTACAGATCTTCTTGCTCTAGTTTGCTGTATCTTAGCCATTTCACTCTTCATTAACACTAACAGAGAGTGAGTAAAAACAAACGGAAAACAAAAAGAGAGTCAACAACTCAGTCACATTCTTTGTGAGTAGTATTAAGGAAAGGTTTTGTGTATGACTCCAATTGTAAATAAAAGTATGTGTTGAGGATGATCAGTAAATTTCAATGATTTTTAAGTGAATTTTTTTTATAAGCCCAATATAAATGGAAAGAAGTTAGCTCTACATTTCAGACAATAAAAAGTATTCATCTGACATACGATCAGATAGACTGATTTGGATCAGTGGTTCACAACCAGGGGAGATTTTGCCCCCAGGGTACATGTGGCAATGTCTGGTGGCATTTCTGGGTGTCATATCTAGGGGGTTGCTACTGGCATCTATTGAGTACAAGGCCAGGAATATTGCTAAGCATCCTACAACGAACAAGGCAGCCCCCACAACAAAAAATTATCCAGCAAAAAAATGTCAATAAGGCCAAGTTGGAGAAGCTCTGCTGTAGATTTAAACCTGACACTGTTGAGTTGATTTCCACTGAAAGCAACCCTATAGGACAGAGTAGAACCGCCCCATAGGATTTCCAAGACTGTACTTTTTACAGAAGCAGATTGCCTCATATTTCTCCTGCTGAGTGAGTGGTGGGTTCAATCCTTAGACTTTTTAGCTGGGAGCCAAGCACTTAACCACTATGTCATGAGGACTCCTTCACATTAGACGGATCTGCCCTTAAATTCCTTCTGGTACATGCCATAAACAGTAAATAAAATTTAAGTTAGTAATATTTATTTATTGCAAATTCACACAATATATGATGTGTACCAAATACTGTGGATTAGAAGTGTGACAGAAACTAGAGAAGATACCACTTTTATCACCATCACCTGGATCCATCATCATTCACTCTTTTTTTCAAAGCTCAATAGATAAAAAGACAGGCAGTCAAGGAAGTCCTGTCCACTCAACTTTCTTCTTTGCCTCTCACAAGTTGCTGTACAGTTTGAAAACTACTACATAGAATTCAGCTGACCATATATCCCATCAGAGGTAGAAGAAAAATCAAAACCATATTTAATCTAGCATGTATTTATTTAGCTTTCTTCCTATTTTCATAAAATAATCTTTCAGACTTCTCAACATAAATTTTTAATAAGGAAAATATGCTTAACAATTTAACTTAATAGAATCATCTGATTTTCAGTTTAAATTATATTATTGACAAACAGGTATTAAAAAATATTTCATTTTTAAAGTCATAAAAAGTATTACAATACAATTTAAAGACTACTTTTATGTTGAACAGCCACTTGAAATTCAATATTAATTGAAGTCAGATTTCATCCTTATTCACTATAAGATTCTAAGTAAGTATGAATGTTTTCAATGTACCAGAACTTGACAAAGGCTAAACTTAAGTCTTTATCAGCATGACTAATATTCCCACAGTCACTGGTTTACCTGGTTGAAAGATACGATACTACTAGCATTTAACGATAAGAACATAATCATAAAAATATTTTCAGTGGCTAAAAAAATACATAAATATGAAAATTCCCTGTAACTTAAAACACAAAATTGGCACAGGATTTGTTCCTAGTCCATCCTGCTATTTCTATTTTAAAACAATCACAAGTATTCAAGAAACACTGACTGGGAGCTGTCAGTCCATGTCAGTTTTTATGACATTCAGCTACAAAAACATCAGTAATCATAAAAGACTGTATTAAAAATATTAAAACACTTGCATGAGGTTGGCTGTCCTGGATATATCATCTGCATGTTTCTGCTGATTTAGAATACAGTAGTAATCTTTATTCCATTCAGAATTATCCTCATGACTGCTTTTTTAATTCACACGTGAAAGTAGAAAATATAGAAAAAATTTACTGTTAGCTCCCCTTCATGGTTTCCACCAACTGAAAAAATCTGACCACTTCTAAATCTTGCTCATTTTCATTTCTTAGACTAAATTCAGTGAGCTCTGCACTCTCCTGACATTTATCATCTGATTTATTATATACCCTGTAAGACTATTCCTGCATAAAATTAGAGTGAAATTATTCCAATAGAGGGAGTAAATAAAATATATTCTTTTAAAATACAGACATCTGTTCCCCAATTTTCTACATATTTTATTAGAACCATAAAAGTGATTCTCTGTTAAATGTACCAATAATAAAGTTTATTTGAGCATTACTACAATGTTCTAGACTTTTTGGTGAACTGCTTATAAATATTTGTAATGAATTAAAAGCACTCACCATCCTGCTGTTTCACAAGTCCCTGCTGAATATATCGAATGTAAGTAAAAAAGTTACATACAGAAGTGATCTAGGCCAAAGAAAAAATGTCATTATTAGTCCAATGTCTCATAACAAAATAAGCTATATTAAAATTCCACGCTAAGTTACTTACCCTATATCTGCAAAAAGGAGAAATGTAGTAATAGTTGCTTGAGTCTCCTAATTTAATTCTGTGTTTACATGACTTACTCTGGCCAGTAAGAGCACATTTTCTGTAAAATGATGAAAGATTTTAGTTTTGTAATATTAAGAGCATTTTGTTCCTACATGCTGTAGAAGCTGTGTATTCATTCAGTGAGACAACAAATATTCAAGAACCCACTATGTGCCGGGCGTCATTCTAGACACTAGGCTAACAAGACAGTATCCCTGCTCTTCTAGGTCTTATACTTGAGTATTATCTTAATACCGTAACATTAACTATGGTTTCAGAAGTATAAACTGATGTTTTAAATATCCTCTGAATTTGATTATGTAACTCTTAAATATTTACTTTAGTTTCTGTTTGTTACAATCCCCACTGATTAGACTTATGAAAACAAAATACTGAAAACTGCATTTTTTTCTAAGACAGAATTCTAAGCAATGAAGTTTGTAATTCAAAAGGAAACATATTTTCTGTTACTCATCCGTTAAGAAGTACAGCACAGGTGACACTGTTGGCCCCAGGGAAAGAGGTGTTATGTGTGTTTTAACTCTGCCCTATTTAGTAAGAAAATTACTGGCTTTCAGTTTTCCATTAGAATTTTAACTTCTTTTTCAGTTGAAAAAATCTTAATGATGATTGCTCAAGCCTCAAAATACATCACTGACAGAGTGCAGGATAATACCCTGCAGATAGGCTATTATTTTGTTCGGTGGTGGTTGTTGTTAGGTGCCACTGCGTCAGTTCCAACTCAAGCATATGTGCAACAGAACAAAACACTGCCTGGTGCCACGCCATCCTCACACCTGCTGCTATGCTTGAGCCCACTGTTGTAGCCACTGTACCAATCCATCTTGTTGAGGGTCATCTTTGTTGTTGACCCTCTACTTTATCAAGCATGATGTCCTTCTACAGGGACTGATCCCTCTTGATAACAGGTCCAAAGTAAGTGCAACAAAGTATCGTCATTCTTGTTTTGAAGGAGCATTATGGCTGTACTTCTTCTAAGACAGACTTGTTCATTCTTCTGGTAGTCCATGATATATTAAATATTCTTTGCCAACACTACAATTAAAAGGCATCAATTCCTGTTTAGTTTTATTTATTGTTCAATTTTCACATGCATATGAGTCAACTGAAAATACCACGACTTAGGTCAGGTTTACCTTAGTCCTCAAAGTGACATCTTTGCTTTGAAATACTTTGAAGTGGTCTTCTGCAGGAGATTTGCCCAGTGCAATGTATTGATTGATTTCCTGGCTGGTGCTTCTATGGGCATTGATTGTGGATCCAAGTAAGACGAAATTCTTGACAACTTCAATCTTTTCTTCATTTATCCAGATATTGCTCACTGGTCCAGTTGTAAGGAGTTCTATTTTCTTCATGTTAAGGTGTAATCCACACTGATGGCTGTAGTCTTTGATCTTCATCAGTAAGTGCTTCAAGTCTTCTTCACTTTCAGCAAGCAAGGCTGTATCATTTGCATATTACAGGTTGTTAACGAGTCTTCCTCCAATCCTGATGCTATGTTCCTCTTCGCATAGTTCAGCTTCTTGGATTATCAGCATATAGATTAAATAAGTATGGTGAAAGAATATAACCCTGATACACACCTTTCCTGGTTTTAAACCATGCAATATCCCTTTGTTCTCTTCAAATGACCACCTCTTGGTCTATGTTCAGGTTCTTCATGAGCACTAATTAAGTGTTCTGGAATTCCTATTCTTGGCAATATTATCCATCATTTGTTATGATCCACACAGTCCAATGCCTTTGCATACTCAATAAAACACAAGTAAACATCTCTCTGGTATGCTCTGCTTTCTGCCAAGATCCACATCCTCTTCGGAATCCAACTTGGATTTCTGGCAGTTCTCTGTCAATGTACTGCTATGAACATTTTAAATTATCTTCAGCAAAATGTTACTTGTATGTAATACTAATGATATTGCTCAATAAATTCTTCTGCTGGATCACCTTTCTTTGGAATAGACACTATAAATATGTATCTCTTGCAGTCAGTTGGCCAGGTAGCTGTCTTTCGAATCTCTTGGCATAGACGACTGAGTGCTTCCAGTGCTGCACTTGTTTGCTGAAGCATCTCAATTCTTATTCCAATTAAATATCAATTCCTGGAGGCTTGTTTTTCATTAGTGCCTTCAATGCAGCTTGGATATCTTCCTTTACATCAGTTCTTGATCATATGCTACGCTCTCAAATAGTTAAATGTCAACCAACTCCTTTTGTTAGTGACTCAGTATATTTCTTCCATTTTCTTTTGATGCTTCCTGAATTATTTACTACTCTGTCCATAGAATCATTTAATATTGCAAACTTGAGGCTTGAATTTTTTCTTTAGTTCTTTCAGCTTAAGAAATGTTTAGCATATTCCTCCTTTTTTGTTTTCTGACTCCAAGTCTTTACACACTTCATTATGATACTAACTTTGTCTTCTCAAGCCATCCTTTGAAATCTTGTTAGTTCTTTTTTCTCCCATTGGTTTTAGCTAATCTATGTTCAAAAGCATGTTTCAGAGTCTCTTCTGACATTTTGGTCCTTTCTTTCTTTCCTGTCCTTTAATGACCTTTTGCTTTCTTCATGTATGATATATTCTTGATGTCATCCCACAACTTGTCCGGTCTTTGGTCACTGGTGTTCAATGCATCAAATTTATTCTTCATATGGTCTCTAAATTCAGGTGGAATATACTTAAGGTTGCACTTTGGCTCTCTCGTTTTTCCTTCAGCTTCAACCTGAACTTGCATTTGAGCAACTTATGGTCTGTTCTGCAGTGGGCCCCTGGCCTTGATATAACTGATGATATTGAGCTTCTTCATTGTCTCTTTCCACATATGAAGTCAATTTGATTCACGTGTATTCCAACTGGTGAGGTCCATGTGTGTAGCTGGCATTAATGTTGTTGAAAAATGCAATGAGTAAGTTTGTTGGTCTTACAAAATTCTATCATGAGATCTGTAGCATTATTTCTATCATCAAAGCCGTATTTTCCAGCTACTAATCCTTCCTCATTTCTAACTTTCACATTCCAATCACCAGTAGTTATTAATGCAACTTGACTGCATGTTTAATCAGTATCAGACTGCATACGCTAGTAAAAATCTTAAATTTGTCTTTGGCATTAATGGCTGGTGCATAAATTTGAATAGCAGTTGTATTAACTAGTCTTACCTGTATGTGTGTAGATATTATCCTATCACTGACAGCATTGTATTTCAAGACAGATCTTGAAATGTACTTTTGACAATGAATGTATCATTCATCTCTGATGTGTCATGTCTACCATAGGAGACCATATGATTTTCCAATTCAAAATGGTCCTATCAGTTCATTTTAACTCATTAACGCCTAGGGTATTGATCTTTATTCATTCCATTTCATTGATGACAACCACTTTTTCTAGATTCATACCTCGTACAACCCACATTGCAATTAGTAATGGTTGTTTGCAGGTGTTTCTTCTCATTTCTGTTGGTTTATATGCATTTAATGTGGCATCTAAGACTAAGAACTACAAAGGAATAAGCCACCTTATAAAAATACTGAATCTTAACAATCATATAAAGAATATGCCTTTAGACAAACCAAAATCTAAAGTCTGTTATGAGGGCTTTCTGGCTGGGATCAGGCTGTAAGCCTCTTGTGGCACTTGTCTGCACACAGAAGGCATTCAATGATTGCTGATTTATTGATAGGGAGCCTGTCATTTTACTGATGAAGTAAGATAAAGTGGGCATGTCTATCAGGCAACCTGAACGGCACCCCTCCTAAACTAGGAGCTTGGTTCATACCAAGCTACCACTTCATCACTGTAAAATTAACATAGCTTTAAGTAAAAGACGTATTTAAAAAAAAAAAGGAAAATGTGTATTTAAAACAGGGTAATTCTGGGGGTGGTAGTTCAAATCACAAAAGAACACTTTAAGAAATTTTGCCTCAGTGTTCTTTCTTAGCACAGTCCTTTAATGATTTATAATAATATTGAAAAGAACTACTTGATCAAAACCAAACAAACTCACGGCCATTGAGTCAACTCTAACTCATAGTGAGCTGTGGTGGTGCAGTGTTTAAAGCATCTGACTGCTAACCAGAAGGCTGGCAGTTCAAACCCACTGGCCACTCCTTAGATTCTAGAAGACTGGACAATCTACTTGCAAAGAGATACCACCCTGGAAACCTAAAGAGGGGTCGCTATGAGTTGGGATTGGCTTGACCGCAGTGAGTGTGGTGTTTGATTAACTACTTGATAGAAGAGGATAGGAGATCAAAAAATTTAAGGTGCAAGTGTTGCGTATCTTTGGAACTTCCAAAAGTATAATTTACACAAAGTAAAAGTCAATTTGTATACTAGTCTTCTGGGAAAAGACACATCTGTTTGCCTATAATTCTAATTTTAAAAGCATTCTGCTAATGTGGTTTTAAACATCAGTTTTCAAAATTGGGGAGAAAAAAGTGTTCCTAAAATTATCTCATTTCTAAAGCTGTATGTTAACTGATAACATGCAATATATCTTCACTGGAACCAATATTCAATTCTAAATTTCTGACTATCAACTCCAATGTTGTGTGTGTGTGTGTGAGTAGATGAAATTTTGCAGAGCAAATTGGTTTTCCACTCAACAATTCACACACATTTTTTATGACATTTCCTGTAACCCCAAATGCAACAGCACTTTTTCCACTTCCTCCCATACCCACCACTTCCCTTTGTCTTCCTTCCCATCCCCTTCTGCCTTCCCAGCTCTGTCCCTTGACAAATGCTGCCCTCTTGATGCTGTAATGAGTGGATACGCTCCTGATATGTTCACCTTACAGGCCTACCTATCATTTGGCTGAAAGCTGAACTATGGGAGTTGAGTTCAGTTCCAAACTTGAAGGGTGTCTAATGACCATAATGTCAGGGGTTCCACCAATCTTATTTAGACCAGTAAACCTGGTCTTTTCTATCATTTTGAATTTTGTTCCACATTTTTCTCCCACTCTGTCCAGAACCTTCTATTATGATCCCTTTCAGAACAGTAAGCAGTGATAGCTTGGCACCATCTACTT